AAAAAAAAAAAAAAAAAAAAAAAAAAAAAATTGCTCCATTGAATTGTGTTATAGCTAAGAAGAAACATTACAGAATGTGCCTAGGTTTACACTTTAAATTACTGACACAAAGATCCTAGGAAACATACCTAGAGTGTTCAACTCCTTCATCCGATCAAGTTTGCATACAGAAGTGATCTCATTGTCTGCCAGAAAAAAGGCAGAAGGGTATATATAAGTACAAATCAATCAAAACATCCCTCGACTGCGATATTTAGAAGTTACTGTACTTGCTACTCCAGCAAAGCCTACCATTCAAAATCAATGCACGCAAGCTATCAAGAGACTTCACCTCATCCATAGATTTAAGCTTGTTTTTTCCAGCATTCAGTACCTGAGTTAGAATAGACAGAGATAAATGTGAAGTTGCTATTTGGAGTTTTCAACCGCAAAATTATAATTCATCAGCTGAAGCAATGAGCTCTATACATATACTATGAGTTAAAATAAAGTTACCATTTCAATTGATAGTATTAGAATAAATGTATTAGTAATTCAAGAACTACAGAACTGACAAATGGGCTAGAATCAGCAACCTATATGATCTTAAGTTGATGATTAGAACTATAGTATTATGAAGCAAACAATCCTGACAAAGTAGCAAGTCTAAGGGTAGATCATTCGAGCAACTTCCGTACTTAATCACGAAGGAACTTATATCTTCAAATAACAATGTGATATTGGATGCCCTCAGCAAAAAGCTAGTATGAAAGAGGCAAACGGTCCAGACGCGTACCACATCAACACACACACACGAGAAAATAGAACGTCAATAACTAAGTTCATAATGATTGTTCAAATAATTCCAATGAAAAAGTCATAATACGAAACATTAGCATCATAATAACTTGTCACATACAGTGAGTTTATTCAGGCCTTCAATGCCTTTTAAGCTCTGAAGCTTGTTCTGCACCACTGATAACCACTTCAAATTTAAGCATAACTTCAAGCCCTGTGGTTATTTCAACCCTACAAATATTAGCACCCAAGAAAGAGGAGAACAACACAGAAATAGTGACATTTAACATAATTTCCCGGCATTGCAAATATTAGTGTGTTTTTACTACCTCAAGCGAGGTCAGATTATTGAATCCAAGATCGAGCCTTTCTAAGTTCTTGAACTCACTCAAGCACGACACCTGATGAAGCCCCCACACAAAAATAAATAAATAAATTGACATAACTTTCGACAAATGTGCGAAAAATAACAAGAATATAGAACGAGCATGTTAAACAAAATTGTACTGTGAAACAGAGAATGTATGAATTACATCAGAAATAGCTCTGTGATTAAGGGAGAGAGAAGTAATGGAGTTGGAATCACTTGAATCTTTTTCTTGCAGTATTTTCTTGGAGCTCAACACGGACATGTTTGCGGAGTCTGCTAGGGTTTTTTCCTAAACCCCAGATTTTGGCCTTCGTAGGCATGTATTGTTTTGGGAATTTTCAGGCGTTTACTTATGTAAAATATATGTGATAAACAAAAAAAGAAAACAATTGCAAAAATCAAAAAAAGAAAACAATTGCAAAAATCATAATATGATCATTGAGAAAAAATTAAACAAAAAAAATTAATTCTAAATATTATTAAACAATTTTTTATATACAACGTTCGTGGTTTTCCTATTGTCAAAATCTCCATCACCACAGATCATTATCTTCAGTCCCCTCCAATTCGTGACTCTAGATAGTGTCACGTACAACTGTCCATGACTGAATACAGGGTTCTTCAATAGTAAGTCGACGTGTGATAATGACTGGCATTGACTCTTGTTGATAGTCATAGCATATGAAACCATGAGCGGAAATTGCCTACATTGAAATTTGAACTGTACCCTCAAATCGGATGGTATGATTGTGAGCCTAGGAATAAGAACCTTGTCATCAGCTCTTGGATCGGTTAATATCCTACTGTAGATACATGAAATTTGTGTCCAATCAAATGGTGCCACGTGGAAATTAATTTATTAAAAATCAAGTCATATTTTCTATTTACATTTTAGGAATTTCCATAAATTTAATTCCTAAATTTAAGTAGTTAATTAATTGATATTTTAATATTTTAATTCTTGACCAATGAAATAATGCCAAGTGTCAAATCTTATTCTTGGTAAATAAATCATATCTTCTAGAAGATCTTGGAAGATTTAAGTGGATCTAGAAGATCTTGGGAGATGTAAGTAGATCTTAAAGATCTTATGTGAATCATCATGGACCAATCAAATCGCGTCCTACGATTCTTAAATTTGGTAGGGAGTTCTCTCCTACACCTATAAATAGGGGTTCTCCCTGATGTCAAAAACAGATCATAATTCATATTTTGAAGTTCAAGAGCTCTAGAGAATTCTCTCTACAAGTTTCAAGTGTTCTTGAAGATTCGAAGTCGTTCTTAAAGATTCGAAGGAAGATTCAAGCACATTCAAGCTCAACACCGACGTTTAATCCGGAAACAAGCTACCAAGCCTCCGAATTACGTTTTTATTCAAGTTCAAGATCTCTCGACAAGATTCAAGTGTTCTTGAAGATTTAAAGGCGTTCTTGAAGACTCAAAGCAAGATTCAAGCGCGTTCAACCTCAAGACTAGCGTTCAATCCGGAAACAAGCTGCGAAGCCTCCGAATAACGTTAGTAAATTTAAAACCGGCGTGAAGAAGATTCGAGATCTACTTTGCGGCGAAGACCAAGGATTCGTGTTCTTCGCGTTCTTGGGATATTTTGACGTTTGATCCGGGAAAAAGCTTTCAAGCCCTCGGATTATGTTAATTCAAGTCAAATCAAGTCAAGGAGAAGATCAAGCCGAACATTTCGCTCCAAGACTTAATATATTGTTTGTGGGAAGAATCAGAGGAATAATAGAGATTGTAACCCGCAATATTTATTTTGATTCAAGAAATTCATTTGAATAATATTTTTTCGTGTTTTTAAATTCAATTCACGAAATTCAATTCAAGAAATTTGTGTCCAATCAAATGGTGCCACGTGGAAATTAATTTATTAAAAATCAAGTCATATTTTCTATTTATATTTTAGGAATTTCCATAAATTTAATTCATAAATTTAAGTAGTTAATTAATTGATATTTTAATATTTTAATTCTTGACCAATGAAATAATGTCAAGTGTCAAATCTTATTCTTGTTAAATAAATCATATCTTCTAGAAGATCTTGGAAGATTTAAGTGGATCTAGATGATCTTGGGAGATCTAAGTAGATCTTAGATCTTATGTGAATCATCATGGACCAATCAAATCGCGTCCTACGATTCTTAAATTTGGTAGGGAGTTCTGTCCTACACCTATAAATAGGGGCTCTCCCTGATGTCAAAAAACATATCATAATTCATATTCAAGTTCAAGAGCTCTAGAGAATTCTCTCTACAAGTTTCAAAGTGTTCTTGAATATTCAAAGCCCTTCTTGAAGATTCGAAGGAAGATTCAAGCGCATCAAGCTCAAAACCGACGTTTAATCCGAAAACAAGTTGTCAAGTCTCCGAATTACGTTTTTATTCAAGTTCAAGTTCAAGATCTCTCGACGAGATTCAAGTGTTCTTGAAGATTTAAAGGCGTTCTTGAAGACTCAAAGCAAGATTCAAGCGCGTTCAACTTCAAGACTATCGTTCAATCCGGAAACAAGCTGCGAAGCCTCCGAATAACGTTAGTAAAATTCAAAATCGGCGTGAAGAAGATTCGAGATCAACTTTGCGACGAAGACCAAGGATTCGTGTTATTCGCGTTCTTGGGATATTTTGACGTTTGATCCGGGAAAAAGCTTTTAAGCCCTCGGATTACGTTAATTCAAGTCAAATCAAGTCAAGGAGAAGATCAAGTCGAAGATTTCGCTCCAAGACTTAAAAACTTTTTGTGAGAAGAATCAGAGGAATAATAGAGATTGTAACACACTATATTTATTTTGATTCGAAAAATTCATTTGAATAATATTTTTCGTGTTTTTAAAATTCAATACACGAAATTTGTTGTTACAAATTTTTGGCACGCCCAGTGGGACATCTCTACCTCTCATCTCTTCTCCAAAGTTCCTCAAGTCATCATGACTAGCCGCAAGATTGTCGTAGTCAAGATTCCTTCAACAAGTTCCTCAAGCTCCAACCTAGTCGTTATAAGAAGCATGGCCAAGCAACTGCAAGCATCTTCGGAGACGGCTCCTTTGCACGAGGTGATTGGAAGTGATAAGCTGCATCTTACCCACAAAAGTGATGAAGACGACTCTGCTTCTTCAACTCCTCGTTCATCATCAAGTTCTTCATCAAGCTCAAGTGTCGCTCCGGTTATGACCACCAATGCTTCAACTCTTGAAGAGCACATCGCAAGCTTAACGAAGGTTATTGAAAGGCTCGCAAAGAAGGTCGAAGAGCAAGACTCTCAAATCTCAAAGCTAATGGACAAGGTCGACAATGCTGAAACAAGCCACGCGAAGGGCAAACGAACTGAAGATCACGAAGATTCTGAAACGTCCAAGCAAGAGAAATATGAAGAAATAGAGAAGACTCCATTCCAACACTCATCCACGGGAATGATCCCCATTGATCAGCTGAAGGATTTCATCATGGGAACAATTAAGGACAAACTTGATGGTGGTTCCAAGTCAACCCACAACTACGTCAAGCCATATTCACCAAGGATCGATGACTTGAGGATGCCTGTTGGATATCAACCTCCCAAATTCCAGCAGTTTGATGGCAAAGGCAACCCGAAGCAACATATAGCCCACTTTATCGAGACATGCAACGATGCGGGAACCCATGGTGATTATCTCGTGAAGCAGTTTGTTCGTTCACTTAGAGGGGTTGCATTTGATTGGTACACTGATTTAGAAGCAAACTCCATCGATAGTTGGGAGCAAATGGAGCACGAATTCCTTAGTCGCTTTTACAGCACGAGACGTACAGTCAGCATAATCGAGCTTACTACATCTCGACAATGGAAGGAGGAGCCAGTCATCGACTACATCAATAGGTGGAGAAACTTAAGTCTGAATTGCAAAGATCATCTGTCTGAGCCTTCTTCCATTGAGATGTGCATTCAAGGTATGAGTTGGGGTCTTCGTTACATCCTTCAAGGTATTCGGCCGAAAACATTCGAAGAGTTAGCGACTCGAGCCCACGACATGGAGTTAAGCATGACCGCAAGTGGAGCTAATGGTCCACCGATCCAAGAACCTCGAAGCTCCAAGGATAGATACGAACAAAGGAAAGGGGGCAAGTTTTCCTCAAAACCTCAAAATAAGGAGTCCATGACGATCAATGCTATGCCTGTCAAGTTCAAATGAAAATCCACTGATAACGCCGTTGCAAAGAAGGATGTCTCTAAGGAAATTGAACAAAGAAGGCTGACTCTGAAAGAAATGCAAGCAAAGAAGTACCCATTCCTTGATTCAGATGTCTCTGGCATATTTGATGATCTAATGGAAGCAAAACTCATTGAGTTACCCGAGATGAAGCGTCCTGAAGAAGCTGGCAGGGTGAACGACCCAAAATATTACAAATACCACCGTCTCGTAGGGCATCCAATTCATGACTGCTTCGTATTCAAGGACAAGGTTATGCAGCTGACACACCAAGGAAAAATTTCACTAGAAGAAAGTAGTGCAACTGCTAATCATATAAGCGAAGCTTGCAACATGACAAATAAGCACGAAGCTCCGCTAGAAGAAAACAATAGGCCTGAGGTTGAAACTCACCATTTTGATAACGATTCCATGATGGTCTTTACTGACAAAGATTTGATGCTTGGTTCTAAGCCTCACAACAGACTGTTGTTCGTGGCCGGCTATGTGCAAGAGCAAAAGGTTAACCGAATATTGATTGATGGAGGATCAGCAGTCAACATCTTGCCTCTTCGCACGCTAAAAGAGTTGGGAATGACCACCGAAGAACTTGGTAATAGTCGACTGATGATTCAAGGCTTTAACCAAGGGGGGCAAAGAGCTCTTGGCATCATAAGGTTGAGGCTGCTGATGGAAGATATGGAATCAACTGCTATGTTTCATGTCATCGATGCAAAAACTTCTTACAATATGCTTCTTGGTCGTCCATGGCTTCATGAGAATGGAGTGGTTCCGTCCACATGGCATCAATGCTTCAAATATTGCAAAAATGGCGTTGGGAAGACTGTGCTTGGTGATGATAAACCTTTTACGGAGGCTGAAACTCATTTCGCTGATGCCAAATACTATTTCAATGATGCAAAACCAGTTGAGAAAGTCTCGTCTAAGCAGCATAAAGGGTCTGAAAGTGAAGAATCAAATATTGAAGAGGTAGAAAACTCTTTAAAAGAGTTAGTGTTCCCGCTGCCGAAGGTAGATGACGAGAAACCTATCTCCCAACCACCCATGAACTTTGTTCGTCCAAGAAA